GGATAATGATCCCCTTTTATATTAATATTAAAAAAAAAAAATTCTAGATACCTACTCCCACCAGGAAAAATGCTCCCGTATACTCAGTGAAATTCGTAAGTTTCTCAATTAAAATATCTAAAGCCATGCATGCTTTTGTTCACACTTTATTTATAGAGTCCTCATACAAGCAAAATTAAGATGTATTATAAAAATTTTTAGTGTGTGTACGTTTGTGTGAGGGGGTGGGGGTGTAGAGGTGGTTGCGGACATCCTCCCCAACATCCCCTTGAAATTTTCCATTGAGCACAGGTGCAAGAGACATTTATAAATATTTACCGTTGGTTCAGCCGAGATATTTGGATATAAAATCGCTTTTTATAATTTTTAACTACTCTTTATAGATTATAAGTTTGACTAAAATTTTAGCTATATTGTCACTTGCCAAAAAATCGAAGCATATGGAATGAGTAAGATATATATATATGTTACTGTTGACTTATTTTAAGTACATGTATGATATATCCCCCGAATATACTAATAGTCGCTCCATTATTTCCCTGTAAAATCCACCTGTGATGTCACTCTTTTGTTTGAGCGCTCCATTATTTTTCAGGATTTTTTTTTTATATAAATTTTTTTCTATGACACATTCACAAAGTATTACCGTACAACTGAAAAATCCAAAATATAACATAAAACTAACCTTTTATAAAATTCATACTCTCTGATACTAAAAGTTCTCTTTTAGTATCAGAGAGTATGATTTTTTTTTTATATAAAAGATTAGTTTTAGATTATATTTTGAATTTTTAAATTGTAATACTTTGTCAATGTTTCATAGAAAAATATTTTATATAAAAAAGTCGGGGAGAACCCTTGGGATACGGAACGCAGGGGAGGGGGGGGAGGGGGTCCTGTCACCAAGCACCTGTGATATGAAGCCTGCTTTTTTAAGTACACATGCAGGGATTTTGAGGCAATTTATTTCAAGGTGTAAATACTAACTACTAGCTTAGAATTATATACATTTAAAAAAAAATAGATATGTTTATATACTTGTATTTGTTATCGCATGACAAATGTAGATATTAAACAATTGATTTTTAATTAAAGAATACATGTATGTTTTTTATTCCAGGGGAAAAGATGAAGATGATTATCTCAAGTATCACTTTTCAAACCCTTGCATTTAAAATTCTTCTTGACTGGTCAGACACAACACCACATAATGGTCAACCTCTGATGTAAAGAGAAATCATGGAAACATCAAGCCTAGCTGTTTCTACTGTCTACAAAATTGTTATATAACAGTTATTTTCTACATTTTGTTTATCTCTAAATACACATTTTGGATAATGTTTAGATGTAGATTCTTGCTTGATTAATAATTTGAAAAAACTGTTTTTCAAAGTAGCGATAAAATTATACATATATACATGAATATGTGTATGTTTACTGATTGTAAGACTTTAATATATTGATGGTTTTATTTTTAATGGGGTGTTAATTTATGTAATTTATGGTCAGTGTAAATAATTCTAAATTTCTTTAACAAAATAAAATTAATATATAAAGATATGCATCTGGGAACAAGCAAAATTTAAATGGAGGAAATTAACATTAGCTTATCAAATTTCAAACCTGCTAAATTAATATCTACCTACATGTACCTAGATATGAAAAAGTAATAATTTATTATTTTTTGGTTGAAAAAGTATCATTAGAGTTTTTATCCATTATCTTTTTCCATATTTTATCTAGTATTTGAAAATGTTGTTTACTGAAATAAGTTCCAATGAAAAGTTGAATTGCCAATTTTCTTTACAGTTTGAGTTATCTGCCCTTTGTAAAGGATCCTAGAGAAACAATAATAATTCAATTAATTTTGTTTATCTTATTTATTATCTTTAATAATATTTATTAATCATTCAGTTTGTCTTTTTTATTAGTGAGAAAAATGTTTGGAAAAGAAATTTTATAAAACAACCAGTGTCTAGTAACATTTTGAACAAAATATTATTTGGCAAAATGCCAATTTTCGAAGTTAAAAATACCTAAAACGAAATAAGTCCCCACTCTACTTTTCATAAAAGTTAACTAATATTATTATGGTGTTTTTAAAATTTCAGGTGATTTTTTTTTAATCGCCTGCATTTCTTGAGAGACTTATTGAAATATAGGGAAAAAATGACCATTTTCAAAATGTAAGAATTTGGTCATCTTTGAGCCATCAATAGAAGAATTTGCAGTGACTTGTAGAATTTTTTATAATTGTGTTATATAATGCTTCCTCTGTTCTATTCATATAATATATGAATTATCCCAAAATAATAAAGATGATTAAACCACATGAAATCAAGTATATAGCATTTTTATGCTTGAATTGAGAGTAATTAGGGCAAAAATCTATATTAGCCCGTTACCTTGGCAACCAAGGTAGTAACCTTAATTTTGAATGTTGATTATGTCATAATGTATGGGCATTAATCACCTGAAAAAGTTTCATGAAAATCGCTCATGGTGTGTGCCACAGCCCTACAGTAAAATTTTGGTCCTTACAGAGAATTGATGTTAAGACCTAATACTAATTTACTTATTATGTACTAAATAGTACAATATCTTGATGATTTGTTGTTAGAGTCATACATCTATTAAAGATTGTGTTAAATGTTTGTATTACCTACAATGTATTATGAAATGATGTGTATTCATTTTCAGAATTATTTGTTAAGTATTCGTATGAATTTTAATGTTTCATGTATAATAATGATATTTCGCTAAAATATGTTTTTTAAGAGCCCTCTATACACTGCACACTAGAGAGTGGTATTTCTATGCAAATAGAGTGATCTGCCCTTTGATCAAGAATAAAATAAATTGAAATGTACAATTTATTACTTAATTTGGGATCAAATTGAGCATTCATAACACTTTAATAGGCCAGGATGAATAGATAGAACACTTGATTTGCAGGTATTTTGCCCACTTAAGTAAACAACAGTGATTTATGTTCATCAGTACTTCATTGTCTTTGAACATTTTTCCTGGGGGTATATGCAAGGCACCCTATGTTGAAAATGTGATAGATAAGCTCAATACTTACACCTTTACACACTATAATTTTCTCAATGTCCAAAAAATATTTTCCTCTAGTGTATAGAGGGTCCTTAAATAGAAATTTACATTTTGATTATCTTCATACCTTAAATCGTGCCGACTGAAAAGTTTTTTTAAATAAGATTATTTAAATTTTTTTATTGTTTATAAACTTCATAAAATACAATTTCATCAAAGTCCTTTTTTTATCAAAACGGCGGCTTTTGTTTTACTCTCATTTGGCGCCCGCAACATGTGGCCACAGAGGGTTCATTCGTGTTATATTTACATTTCTAATGTCTTTGTCCGAGATAAAATTACTGATTGTAAAAATACTTTATTTCTACATAAATCTACTGGTTCATCGGTAGGCGCGGTTAAAAAAAATCACGTGCGGGGCGGGACAAATAGAGACAGAAGCGGGGCTATTAGCACGGGAATTTGCAGAATCAGGAGCATGTAAATATAAGGAATAACTGTCAGATTTTTTGGATTCATGACGATGATCAATCGATTGGCTTGCGTGATAATTTTATGCATAAACGCCTTCGGCGTTTATGCAAATTATCACGCAAGCCACTCGATTGATCACATCATGAATCCAAAAAATTAGACAGTTATTCCTTAAATAAAACAATGGTGACGTATGAATCTTATTATATAATCTCAGTGGCGGATTCAGGGGGGTTTGGGGGGGTTCGGGACCCCCCCCCCCCCGCCCGATCAAAAAAAAAAATTTTACAAGTGTCATTTTAACAATGTATTGCATAAATGCGACTCTATCCAAGCCCATTGTTGTACACAAAGAGGTGAAATATACAGCCACCATGCGAAATCCCTTTCCGCTTGAGCGCACACAATACACAGGGTAATCAACAGTACTGAGATCATGATAGTCCGTGCAGCTAGAGAAGACACAACGTCATACACAACAAGAAAAACTGCACATAGTTATTACGGTTTTGTTTTAGCATTGCTGAAGTAATATTGTTTCGAGAATTTTCTTCTTTCTTCGATAATTGAATGTTACTTTATTGAACTACGTGAATAAACTGATTATTATTTAGGAAAAAAATTAATACATCAGGGACGTATACTGTGTAGTAAGTTGTTTACGTTGTGACCTGTACCAAAAAGCACATTGAAAGTATTCCTTTTGTAGATGGAAGCTACAATGCAATTTTAAAAAGCAAAAGATCTGCATTTTTTGAATTACAGTTGAATGATGTTGAATAAAACCCAACTAACGGTTACAACTTTGTATAGTGAATTGTGGTAATTGTACATTGTACATATACCGTCCACAGATAGGAAATACGTGTATCAATATGCATATACATGTATGTAAAACACATAGATACACAATATGTCATGCATATTAAAGAAAAAAATTAATATTGATACAAGTGAAAACGCAGTTTAATAACATATCAACTACAGAATCTATATGTTTCGTCAATAAATTTATGAACAGCAGTAAAAATACTATTATTTATCTGTAAAGGCAAATTAACATCACCTCATAATAATAGATATATATGTATATATCAATAGTAACCAGTTCAAGCATGAACAAGCGATTAAAAAGAGTACTTCTTGCTTAGAATAAGTTTTGCATGCAAAACAAAAATGGTACACATCTTTCATTTTTTTTAAACTTTGGTTACTACTAGGATCAATGGAAAACAAATTAAAAAACATTAATAAACGGGAAATTGAAAAGTTTGCAGCTCAATCCTGAGAATTTTTTTTTATTTTTAAAAATTTCGCATATTAGTATATGCTCACGCGTACCTGTGTACATTTTAAATGGACTACGTGGTTCTGAATGCACAGAAAGTTACATACATTTATTTTAACATTGCATGGTTTTTTAAATTAATTCTTCGACGACAAAATTATTGCGTGGATTACCATTGTCAATCCAGTGAAATCTAATTATTGTTAAAGATAATTCCAGGTAGTGTTGCATTTGTCCTTCGTCAATACGGACCATCTGCTATTAAATTTACAACTTCTGATACCGTCCCGTGAAGTTGTTAAATACCCTCAGGTGAAAACACTTCAAATGACTTGAGAAAGATTTACTTGAAAATGGCGACGCCGAAAAGCATGAAGTCGTTTCGATCATGGAGTTCTGTCGATTCTGTGGACCCAAACGACGTTCGCCATCTCTGTGAGGCAGAAAGTGACCCCAGCGCCCAGAAGCCTTCGCCCGGCGGGCGTTGTGTGAGCACGTGGACTTTTTCCTTGATCGTTTTGATTATCAGTGTGTTTTTGCTTGTCGGGATTTTCGTGGGGTACTATATTAGAGATGGAAAAAACTACTCAGTTCCAAAGGATGTGCCATGCGATTTTACATTTCGAACAGACGGATTTGGTCCAGATCGTTTGGAAATGATTCATGAAAATGTCATGTATCTAATGTCGGGGGAGAGGGTTAGGGACACAGCTGGGTAAGTTAAATGTAAGGGGGGATTAGGAATCGTGGATTTGAGGTCAGGGATTTATTAACTACAGATGTGGAGGAATAACCTGACCAGATTAACTCCATGAAATAATCCACAAAATTAAACAGATGATAATCAACAGGATATTTTAATTACATGTATTTTCTTTTACCACACGGAAGTAATATTTTACATATTCTGACTGTGACATTGCATAACGTAACGTGATATATCAGATAAAATTGTTTGCATTGAAATAAATCTGCTTAAATGCATGCAGGCATGCTTTTGAATGAAGTCTGGATTTTTGTATTTTTTTTTTATTACTACATTGTGTATTGTGACAATTTTTTCCTTTAATTCTTTTTTTAAAAAAAAATTTCTAAGTATTCATGCTTAGGGTACAAGCCTTTTCAAGGCTTCCAAATGTTTTTAAGTTATGTTTTTGTAACCAGTGAGTGTGGATCATGCAGAGAGGCAGAGCCCCCCCCCCCCCATTTTCCAATTATTCGGCATCATAAAATTTTCAATTACAATTTAGAGAGGGCTAGTAAACTAGGATGGAATTGACTAAACTTTCCTAGGAAAAGTGGATCTCTCCTAAGAACTTAACAAAATATAATATTTTATTGAAGTCTCTGAGTCCCCCCCCCCCCCAACCTTCACAAGTCAGCAGGGGTTAATTTTATATTGGTCAACATCATAATGATATTAAATAGGTACATTTAAGTAAGAAGCATACAGGTATGTATTTTGAAAAAAAATATATTTTCAGCAATTAATCCTGCAATCAAATGCAATTATTTGTTGAATACCAGACCAATAATTTTTACATATTCCAACAATTGTACTGGTACATGTTTTTCTATCATGATAATTTGTTCTGATAAAACTGCAAGATTACGTGTAATCATTGACAAAAAGACACCTTATCTCCAATAAACATTCCGAGACGGGTATTATCATGATTAAACAAAATACCTCTTCACAATTGTTAATGTTAACAGACGATCATGATCAGCGATTTAAAAGAACTTGGCACAATGATACAATGAAATTGGATAATCAACAGAATGGTCTGTAAATCATGATAGAAATCTATACCATAATCGTTGTATATTTCTTGCTTATGGGATGACAGATGGTTTAGTGAGGGGTTTTTTTTTCATTCAGGTTTATATTTTATATGCATGGCGATCGGTTTGTTTAGAGGGGATAAGTGCCTGTAGCGACAATGTGCATTGGTCCAATTAACTTCTTTCGCCTGTGTGTATTTTCTTTTGTGCATGTGGAAGATTATTTTAAAATCCTCCTTACAACAAAGAAACACACCAGGAGTTTTCTTCTTTTGTAATTTATCAGAACCATAATAGAAAATTGTCAATAGAACTGTCATCAATAAAAAGAAAAATTCCTGGGTTCATTAACTTCAAATTCGAAGGAAATTTATCTTTTTCTAAGGAGTGTTAAATTTGGAAATTTTTAAGTAAAAGTTCTGAACAATGAGTACAATCTTTTTATTCTGTTTTATTTGAATTTAGGCTGATATATTGTTATGTACTGTTGATTTTGATCATTTGTTTCTTTGTCATTTTTTCACAATATTTTCCAGAACCATAATTTTTGAAATCAAATGACAGAAAATTTACATCTGGTCATGGTCAAGGTTCCTCAAGAAGGTCATGGTCATAAATTGAGGTCATGCAGAGGTTAAATTCATAATTACTTGCCAGTTGTTCACCTTTCCCTTAAAGTTTGTTAAACATGTTTCTGTTTAAATTAAAATACAGTGTGTATTAATTGCTGGTTGAAGTATGAAAAAGTAATGGTCAGTAATTAAAGATAATGTTTCCACCAATCCAAAATGTGGAAGTGAATTTGAGTGTGTAACACTTGCCCAGATATATCGTATATTTTTTTAAGTTTCAGTAGCAAGTCAAAGAGGATTCAAGGATAAAATATTTAAGTCTTGTACTGAAAATACACTGATAAAAGTAAGTTATATTATTGCAATATATGGTCTGGTCACGACTGGATGATAAGCCCAGCTCAAATTCACCTCCTTTCTGAAAGAGATATTATAGTTAACTCAATTTCACCTCCTTTCTAAAAGAGATAAAGTTAACTTAGCATCTTTATAAAGACAATTTAGAAATTATCATTTTAGAACTTTGCAGAAAAGCATATTATATAATGTACTTTTTTCTAATTTTTAACACCAAACTTATTTTTTGTTAATATTTATTGTGTATTATTGAGCCATAGTCCTTGTCACAAGGTATTAATTGTATATGTTAAACCTTTTTCTATTACTTTGACCTTTCGATATTTTGTGACATCATAGCCATTAACACTGAAAATATTTGGTCTGTTAATTATCACCAATTTCACAGTAGTTTAATTATGTGCTGCGGGCCAATGTTTGACGAGACATGGAAAATATTTAAGTGTAAAATATTTTTTTGCTCGTTAGTTTTACTATCAAAAGGTATTTTCATGCATTAAGTTAATAATATTTACCCAAAGTTATAGGTCAGATTCCTTAAAACAAAGGGTTGAGGGATAAATACCTTGTAAAATAATTAATACAGGGTAATTATTGCGATTTAGTCTGGTTATATTTTGGTTTTTCTTTTAAGTAACCAGGTACATGGTGCTTGCAGCAATACGGCAATCAATATAATCTAAAGAGCAAATTTCTTTGAAGTCGCTCCACAAACATCATTTTTGCACAGGTTTAAACTTCAACGGCATTGATACAATTTGTAGAGAATAATTGAGATATTCACCTTCATTTTTTGTTGATAGGCAGTGCAAATATGCAAAGTTAACCAACCCCTTTCAGAAAGTGCATAATATTGGTGTGAGAATCGTCTTACAAAATGAAATCAAAGAAGGATTTAAATCCTATCTAAGATTTTGTTAATAAACTGTTTCTGACACCTGATTATCCATACCTCCACCCATTTTTTTTCGAATACAAATAATGGGTGCATTTATAAAGGTGTTATTGCATAATCTTATTGAAAACAATTTCATAATTTTGTTTTCTCACTTGGTGAATAATTTTTGTAAGGCCACAGCATAATTTGAAGTTGCTTACTCAATTTACCAAATTCTTTTTCAAGCTCAAAGAGTTGCATTTGCCCAAGAGTGACGTTTATTAAAGCTTTCTCACTTTCATAATTACAAGGGACGATTTTTTAGCATCACTAATCATGCTCAAAAGTCTCTTTGTATCTTTTGAAGAAGGAGGGACTGGGGAAATTTCAAGAGTCATATTTTTAAAATGTTATCCCAGTTGAAATGTTTTTAGGAAAGAGGGCTTAGTAAAGGTTGGCAGAATTTAGCAAGGGAGACAAATCTTAATGGTACCGCATTTTATATATATTCAGTCTTAAGTGGATATCTATAAAAGCTAACAGTATGTATAAGCTTTTTTTAATGGTTACTGTAAATGTATTATATTTAGCGAGTACGATATTTGGCAGAATTCAATTTTTGAACAAATTGGCATAGATTTGATTTAGTGCATTTCTTGATCTCTTAATTATGTATTTATGAGTAAGACATTTAGCATATTGTGCTTAAATTAGAGGAAGTTTCTTTTCCACAAAAGGCGCTAAAGGGAATTTACATAGCTAAATGTATTAATATGTTTACAGTATTCTTTAAAGGTTATTATGCTATTGTACTCACAAAAGGTGCATTAGAACAAGTGATCAAATTACAGGTATATATATTGATTTATTTGTAATGTGATTCAACTTCATTTCATAGGAATATACCCTCTGTAGTAAAGTTGGGTTAGGGGGAGGGGGGATATTATTCTGGATTCCCTTGACCATTTCCATCCATCTACATGCATATTGGCCAGTGCAAGGTGAAGCTGGGGTTCAGACTGCTTGATTTCTGGCTTATCACAAGGGGTATAAAAACACAAACCACAATCGCAAGTTGCCAATGTGGTAGTTTAAATACTCACAATTTTATGGGTTAAAGTGGAAAAACTGCATTTATTTTTACTGAATGTAGTTTATATTAATTAATAATTGCAAAAAAATATATAGGTCCTTATTTTTTATGATGTAAGACATAAATAAACAGAAGTATATGTCAGCATAAAAAAATAGTACAGTAAACAGTATTATAAAAATTATGTAAAAACTGGTTCAGATACATAATTCTGATGCTGATAGTTCCAATATAATTGTTACTTTATAAATATATTAGAATTGTAAATGTCAGGGAAACCATTTTACATTAGAAGTACAATAAAGAGATGCCTGATTGAATATCCATGAGAAGGAGTTATTCCCCTTAATAACATTTGTTAAAGATTGAATAATTGATTAAATAAAGAAAATATTTTATCTTTTAATTCTTTTACTAAACAACATTTTTCATTTGACCAATTAAAAAGCATTTGAATAAAAGATATAATTTTATTGGGTATGAATTTAAATTGGTAAGAGTTTTTTGCAAAAACCTGTGACATCACAGAAGGATGGAAATACCTTGAGCACAAGTGAATTTTGTGCAGAAAACATGAAATCAGGCAATTTTTTTTTTTATCAATTGTTACTTTCCTTTCAGACATGTTTAGCATTTATGAATCAGCAAAAATGAAACTGCTCAAATGATTTTGATAATTTTTATTCATAGTGAAATGTTTCATTTTCGTTAAATATTTGCAGAGATATGACGTCAAAGAACAGCCAGAAGTCGGACAGTACACTAGATAAAAAAATGGTCAAGTATATCTCGGAGCATTTAAAGAACTCGGGTCTGGATAAAGTGGAAACAGTCAAGTACATTATAGAAGTTACCTCCCCTGATCCAGAAAATCCTTCTTCTGTAACTCTGACAAAAAATGACCAGGAGATTTTAACATTGAAATATGGAAGCAAAGGTTCAGCAGGACAAGACAACACCATAGTGAAAGAGGAAGATCCATTGATAGCAGTGCCAGGAAGGGCAGTGGTAAGCATAGGGATTTGAGACAATCTTAGCAAAATCATGACCATCGGGGGTTGGGTGGGGCCACAATGGGGAATCAAAGTTTAACATAGGAATATATAGGAAAAATCTTCTCAAGAACAGCAAACCTATGATTGGTCATATTTATATGGAAGCATCCTCAGGTAGTGTACATTCAAGTTTGTTCAAATCATGACCCCCTGGGGTAGGAAGGGGCCACAATGGGCGATCAAAGTTTTACATTGGAATACATAGTAAAAATCTTTAAAAATTTATTTCTCAAGAACAGCAAAGTCATAGTTGGTGATATTTATACAGAAGCATTCTTAGATTGTGTAGATTCAAATTTGTTCAAATCATGACCGCCGGGGGTAGGAATGGGCCTCAATGGGTGATCAAAAGTTTACATAGGAATACATAGGTCAAGAACAGCAAAGCCATGATTAGTAATATTTAAATGGAAGCATCCTCAGGTAATGTAGATTTAAATTTGTTCAAATCATGACCCCCAGGAGAATAGAGGGGCCATAACAGGGTATCATAGTTATACAAGGATATATCAATAAAAATTTTCTTCATAAGAACAGCAAAGCCATTATTTGTCATATTAATTCAAAAGCATCCCTATGAAGTATAGATTCAAGTTTAAATGAACCCCTCTTCCCCCCCCCCCCCCCCCACCCCTGAACCACTTTTATATTTTTTATATTTAAACATTTCAACCTTTCAAGACTGAACTGATTTCTGCTTTTTCCTAGCCATAGTGCTCAGGTGAGCGATGTGGCCCCTGGGCCTCTTGTTTTACTTTGTGGGTGGATTCTTAAATTAGTTCTACTGGTAACGTGATAGTAAAGTGACCATCATCCATCAATCTAGTTGTTGGTGTGTAATAATTTTTCAATAAAAAATATTGAATGTCCTCCTTTTTCAGCTGATTTCAGTGTTATTTACATAGTACATGTTTTAGGGGTTTTTAGGATATATTGGTATATCACGATACACAAAAAATTGTACTGTATTGCCATACAAAAAAAATGTGTATCTTTGTATCAAGATATATAATATTTTAAGTAATTTGATTATTTATTTTCAAATTAACTCAATTAAAGTGATTTTTTATTTACTTAAACTGTTTTGTTGTGTTCAGAGCTTATTAAATGTTTGTGAACTTCATGAAATAATCCACAATTTTTTCCTTTCAAACTGTAATGGAGAGTTTCTAATTTAAGAACAGAGACATATATATACAAATTATGTTAGAAATATGAAAGGTGAATATCGCAGTATGTATCATAATAGAGTCCCAGTGTATCATGATAAATCATGACATTCTCTTTTAACCGTATCATTATACCCCTGTCTAGTATTTGATTATTCTATATCAAGATAAAGAATTTTGACTATCTATTTTCAATTTTGATGAATGACTGTTGCTTTGGTTATTAAAACTAGAATTTTGTCTTTAAAATTCTTTAAATTTTACTCCATCTCAGTGTTTTCCCTAAGAACCAACTACCGGCCAAATTGACGACTTCAGTTGATAAAAATGCTGCTTAGAAATCAAAATTTTAAAAAATAATTGTTGTAAGGTCCTCAGAGATTTTGTCCATAAACCTCAACCCCTTATATAGCATCTTACAGTTCATCTCTAACCCTTAACTTTGAACTTTATAAAGGGAAAACACTGCACCTACAGTTTTAGTTTGATTAAACAGTAGTACCTGGTATGAGTTTAAAAAATATCAAAGCTGCATTATTCTGTAAATGGAAAACTGAAAGAAGAAATGGTAAAATTGTCCAGGTAAAATTCTTCTCTTAAAGTATTACATGATCAAGAGTAGAGCTGCAATCTCATCACAGATTTTTTTTTTTAATTAGACAAGTACGATAATGTTTATAAAAAAAAGGTGATAAATTGTATCAGAAAATCGGTTTTATTACATTTCTAGGGAAATCTTGTGTATGGTTTTTATGGGAGAAGACAAGATTTGTACTTTGTAAAGAAAGCAAACATCACACTGAAAAAAAATGTTTTACTCCTGAAAATCGGAAGAATTAGCATCCTGGAAAAGGTGAGTTTCTTTGCTTTATATACAGTAGAGCCCACTTATAAGATACTCGGATGTAAGGAAATCTGGTTTTTAAGGAAGTTATTACCCTTTCTACATGTCCCTCATATCATGGCAATTTCTTATATAGAGAGAGAATTTCATTAATAAGGAACTAAACAATATAATGTCCCAGGGACTTATTTATAATTATTTATAAGCAAGTTTTACTGTACACCAGTTAGATTATATAACTAATGTAAAAATAGATATCCTCCACCCCCTCATACAACACGTCCAACGAATGTATCAAATTGAAAAAGTTATTAACCAGAGACATATATATTTATACAATCTAATATTATTTAATTAGATATTATATCTGCAATTTATTTCCCAAAACACATTTTAATACAGTCTTGTATTTCATCCTGCAGATTGTCTTTATATAAGGTTTTAAAATCAGATTAAGCTAAAAAGTTTCGTGAAAGCTGATGATTTTTTATTTGTTTTAAATTTATTTTTACTATGATGATTTTTTTTTATTTGGTGATGATAGTTTCTGATTTTGTTTTTCATTAAATGAATAAAATGATGGAATTGAACAAAGTACCTGTGTCAAATGTTATAATAAATAGGAACAACCAAGTACATGTACTCATAACTAAAGATGGCAGTTTTAAGGGAAGTGGTCAAGTTGCAGGAAATTTTATATAAATACACAAATGGATGTGTAAAGGTTTACCAAACAATTTACAATATACAGGACATTTTCTTTATAAAGGCTTTCATATAATGCAGCATATATTTATTTTAATTAACTACAGGTAATTGTCTTGATCGAGTTTGTGTTTGTCCCCTTAAATTGATTTGCTCTAGTGTCTTCATTAAATAGCCCTAAATTAAGATCCTTGATATTTGGTTATATACTTATAAAAGATACTCAAATATTCTATTCCCATTATCTAAAGCTTATTTTATGTTATCTTTGTAAATCTGGATCCAGATTCTCTGTTTGATATATATATAATTTTAGAAATTAAGAATAATTCAAATCGATCAGCACACACAGTTTTTCTGATTTCATAGTTTCTTTTCATACATTCCTGCTTTTTCCCCCTATAAGCCAAAGTTCATTGTATGAGTACATGTAAACGTGGGAACATTAATTTGATACATGTATAAGTGCTGGATAGAAGGATGGTTATAAAGGTATACGGTGCCAGTTTCAACATTCGGATTCCAATCCCAAGAACTTGCATTTACATAGATAATAAATAATAAAGTTGACAGTTTTGGAAACCTATCGTGATGCTGCTATCAGTTCATAACAGGAAAGGAGAGTATGCATATGTAAAATTTGTTTTATGAAGTCATAACAAAGTCATGGCTGTATTCATTCAGGGGATTGCTTTTAAATTAACTCACAATGATGTTTGATAAAGTGACATTGGGCTTAACCGAATAGGTTACCTTTTAATTGCATTGTCCTTTGATGTATATATGTACCTGTATATCTGTATTTAATTGGATATTGGAATAAGAAATATTAAAAACATTTATTATATTGAGATCAAATGTATTTTTATCTCCTATTTCCTCATTTTATAAGCTTCATTTTACATTAGAAAAAGTGAAGGTTAAGAAATTGTTTAACCTTTAATTTTGATGGTCAATCTTATACAGCCAGATGTTAATTATTATATCCCCTGCTCGAAAAAGGGGGGGTATATAGTGATGGGGGTATCTGTACGTCTGTCCGTTACGCTTTGGGGTACACATCTCTTATCCACAACTCATCCTATACCGCTCAATAAAATTTAATAATACTTTCACAGAATCTTTGTTACATGAAGTCCGTTGTGACCTCCTTTTTTTACTTTTTGACTGGACACATATTTTGGGTTTCCAATAGCAAAACATAAATACTGCCATTCTTTCTATAATATTGAGGGTATGTGCCCATTTCTTATCCACAACTCCTCTTATACCACTGGATATAATTTAATGATACTTTCACAGAATCTTTGTTACATAATGTCATTGACCACCTCCTATTTCACTTTTTGATCGGACACATATTTCGGGTCTCCCGTAGCAAAACATGGACTTTACCATTATAAACATAAGGGAGGCAGGGGATATCATTTTGTGAGCTCTGCAGTGCTCACAGTACCTCTAGTTATTTATATTATCCATGCAGTGTCACTTTGAGGCTATATGAAATATTGATACTGGTTTTAAAAATTGCAGAAATGAAATACAAATAATTTTCTCAGTAGATATTTAATTGAAATTCAAGATAACACTTCAAGCACTTCATGGTTATAATTTTAATGTAAACACATCCATAAAAGTGCATTTAAAAACTTAATTTATCCACTACCCTGATATTTAAAAATTTTAATGTTCTTTTGATTCGTGAATTTTGTAGATATATTGCTGATCACAAAAAATGCTTGACTTATTCTCTTCATTTGCTCTATCAATATTTTCTATAAATGTTTGATTTGCAATTTCTACACCTATGGACACACTTTCTCATGTCCCGTTACAAGTTTCATGAAAGAATTTCATTTTTGAGTTTTATTTATGCCCACAAATCTCAATTAAATGACACAGGACTGATAGGGCAAAGTTTGGGGTTTATGGAGATTTAAGAAAGAGTCATCTGAAACAATATCTTTCCTACAAGATATTTTATTTGACCTCGGTAGAATAGGCCATTCTGTATATCCTGTTTATACTAGGATCAAAAGGTGAATGACGCTAATTGCTTTCAACGTTATTAAAAATTGACCTCTTCATGTTTCACTCTATCAGTTTTCTCAGTTATGAGAACATGCCTGCATTGATAAGTAATATAGCACACAGGTGTGTATGGCACCCACAAGTCCCATTTTTAGACTGAGAGAATACAAACTCAATCAAGATGTTTAAAACAATTAATTTATAGTAATATTTACAGATGCATCTATTACTGAAAACACGGAAATATTCGTGTGTGAGGAAATTTTGTGATGAGTAAAGTCTCTCAAAATTTATCACCATGTGAACAGTTTCAAATAAGGTACCATACAAAACAAAAAACTGTCACACAATTTTATTAATAAGTTTATAATAGCTAGAGTGCACAGATTTCATAGTCTTCAATTTTTAATACATGTAACATAAATATAAAAAAAGATACATGTATGGCATATGCAGTCTAAAAACTAAAGGCCACAATTTTTATTCAAATAATTATTTAAAAGTTTAAATTCTGTGAAACATGAACTGTATTGCTTATAGGTCCTTCGAACTGTTGATTAGATCTTACTTAAATGAAATCTAATCCAAGGAAATATTTACCTATTCATTTAATATTTAGAAATGTATTAGCTAGAGACCTTCAAAGATTTCATCTTTTTACCTCAGGCTAATGTAAATTAAATTTTTTGTTGATATAAAAAGAAATGTGTGAAATTTCATACTTTTGAGATTTTAGGATTAAAGGCAAATGTTCCTCATTGGTTTGTTTAAAGTTCAGCATTTTTATGCCATTGTAAAAATAAAATGTAATCGAGATCACTATAAAAATGAGGTATTTTATTGTTCACATCGGAAGCATTAGACGTAAAACATATTTGTCTTATTTATGACATATTTTTAATGCAGTTGTAATGGTCTTGTTGAAAGCAAAGGGGTCTTCTCAACATTCAGAACTTCCTCAGACACAGAATTTATAATGCACTTGCTTAGCATGAAAAGAATTTACCTGTTATTTGATGCATCATAAGGGAAATAACTCTTTAGATATTTTGATTTTCATGCTATCATGTAAGAATAGCACTGAAACATGATAAATTGAATGAGGGAAATTCTTAGTAACAGTCTAAATGGCTACAATTACAATTTCTAATTAGTTCACTAAGTTAATTGCAAATGAGAGTTTCATTATTTTTATATATCCATCTGTAATTTTAATTGAACATTAAAGTTGACATCTATAATGCAATATAACAAATGCACCTGTTCTTTATGGCTTCAGTATTATAGTCATTTATAATTCTTATTTTTTTTTCTTGCTGAAAGTATATTTGTAATTCAAGTTTTTGACTCGCATTACTTTAAATTTTGTTTATAAAGTTGAGACTGGCGGCCTTGGAGGAAGTGTCGGGGATACTGTTGTATCAGGACCCCTCAGACTCCCCCACATCACGGGAAGAACTCTATTTTGTCTCTCACCAACTCAGTAAGTGAAATCTACAACATATTACATGTATTATGATTTGTATCATTGAACATACAGTTTCCAAACTTAGAGAGTTATATAGAGTTGTCAAATTATTTCATTGTATGAAAATTTACAGAAAATTAGTCTTTATAGTCTGCATGTACATTGTACATTTTGCAAAACCGTTTTGAATGTACATTCTCTTTCTCTTACTAATAATGAGTTACAAGTTTCAATCAAAGATGCAATAAAAATTCTATATATACCAATTTTTCCTTCTTCTCCATTGCTGTTGTTTTACAGGTAAAAACACTGTACAGTTTACAGTTATCACAATATTACATAAGAAATTCTTTTTTTGATAGTTTAAGATTTATAATTTAATATTCATGGAGTTTTCTTTCTTTATTTTTTTTAAAGATAACAAAAACTTCCAAATACCCATACAAGTAGTGTCAAACCGTGATGCAGAAAGTCTCCTGAAATCTCTGCGGAATGAAGGAGTTATTGCCCCTGAAGAATGGAAAACAGCTCCTGGAGGGATAAGACAATATATGGGTATAATTCCAAACAAGACAAGTAAGTTTGAATTTATCTTGGATTTTTCTCCATTTTATAGTTAGGATCTGGCTAGCAAATCTTTTTGGCTTGGCTTAATTAAAAAAGAAATGAAATTTGGATTTATGTTGATTGAATTTACAAGAAAAAAAATAACATTCAATCAAGATATGAATTTTATTCTATTATTTCCACTTTGACTTTAATTAAAGTTTCACCTGTTGTTGTGGATCTGCGTGTGAATGTGGTTCAGAAAGAGGAGGTCATTACAGTTGTGATTGGCAGTATCTATGGGGATATGGAGCCAGGTAAATAATTAGCCTCCTTCTCTCTCTCTCTCTCTCTCTCTCTGAAATTGATATTGACTTTTTAATTTGTGCTAATTTCTTCTTAAATCGTCAGCTTTTGTTAACTCTCTTCAGATCGCTTTGTTGTTATTGGGGCCTCTAGAGAGGACCCATCAGAAAGTGATGAAGGAGATGAAAACTTGGGTCTCGGGACTGCTCATTTGTTGGAAATGGCTCAGGCTTTTGCAAATATAAAGTATGCAGAAAAATGGGGCCCCAGAAGGGGTGTACGATTCTGTTCATGGGGTGGTGGAAAAGAGCAGAAAGGGCTGATAGAGTACTTAAAGGTAACTTTCTGAGTATCAGTTGTCATGTCGTAATCACAGATCTCTTTTAATGATCAACTTGTGTAAAAAAAAAAAAAAAATTATTAAGTGACTCATGTCATGCATAATCACTTAGTGGTAAAATTAATAATTTAAAGACTATAAAACATAGAAACTCTGGTGGTAGTTGGTATTTCCTTGTATTTTGATATACAAAAAAAAATATCTGTTACATGAAGGTGAATTAATGATCAAAAAGATGAAGTTTAAGGAGAAGATCATGACTGTATTTGATATATGTATCAAAATCTAAGTGGTCATAGTAAACATTGTGTAATATCTCATATTTCTCTGCATCATTGACAGATAATCATAATGAAATTGTACAAGTAAGTGTACTTGGGTGGCGCTAGCACCTCTTCAGAACATATGCAGCAAAATTTTAACCAAAAAAAATTCAAAAATGCTTTAAATCTGGGATTTCATCAGACATGCTTTTATAATCTATGGTATCATCAGCAACTACTTTCTATATTTTTGTTCAGGCAAATAGATATGTTTTCGGAGCTCAGACTCTAGCATACATTGACCTTGACCTCTACATAGAGAAGTCATTAGCTCATGATGCAGTATTTGAAGCTTCCTCAAGCCCAGCCCTGAATAGACTCATCCAACATGTTTTACATCAGGTATGAAAAGTCAAATGTTCGAAAAAAAGTAGTTGGAACATATTTTGTCATTTTCCATATATACAACTTTACAACAAAAAATCTCGAGATATTCACAGAATTAAATTATTTCTGTAATTTAATGATTTAATAATCATTATGCCCTGCCATGAATATGGCCGAGGCATATAGTGTTTATCATGTCAGTCTTCTGTCCTTTGTCTGTCTTTCCGTCAGGCTTTGCATGTAGCTCTGCTCAAAGCTCAGTTTCACAGAAACTGTGCAAGATATTTTTATCAAACTTCATAGACTGATAGATATTGATGAGAGCTATGCAACTGCATCAACATTTTTTGACCTTAACCTTTCTTTTGACCTTGACCTCACTTTTCTTAAATTCGTGTTTAGCTCAGTTTTAAAGATACCATTCAAGATAGTGTAATCAAACTTCATATGTTGATACATACTGATGTAAGCTTATGTGAACTTATCTTTGACCTTGACCTGACTTTTCTCAATTTGTGTTTAACTCAGTTTTAAAGAAACCATTCATAATATTTTTATCAAATTTAATATGCTGATACGTATTAGTGAAAGCTATGCAACTGCATCAAAAACATTTGACCTTGAACTTTCCTGTGACCTTGACCTCACTTTTCTTAAATTTGCATTCTGCTTAATTTTAAAGAAACCATTTAAAATATATTCATGTAAGCTTATGCACTTATACATAATTTGGTGAGAATTTATCATCTATATTAAACTTTTTAGATTTCAATTTCAATTTTAAAGAAACTATTCAAGATACTCTCATCAAATTTCATACACTAATACAAAGTTTCATGTTGCATTACCAATATGCCCTCGGCGGGGCATTCATGTCCTATGGACATATTTCTAGTTTTAATTTTAGCTTACCTAAGTGATATGACAAAATGATTAAATCATCTACACAAATTTGAAATATAAAGTATGTCAATTAAAATATGTTGTAAGATCTGCAAGCCAATTTTTTTTTATTTTTTGATATGTAACAGATATGTTACTGTCCTTGGACCTTTGCCTGGCCTAATTGATTGGAATTACTGCATGAATGTTCATATTGTAAATTGTTTTGAATATTAGTTCCAATCTTTTTTTTCTAACTGGGTAGCTTGTATTTTCATTTCATTGTATCAGTGAATAGAAAATGGGAGTTAAATCTTAAGTAAAAGATAAAATGTGTTATGTAGGTTCCTCATCCAGAAGATAAACAGTTGACCATAGCAGACTGGCAGTATAACAAACCTGTCAATCAGTTTGTATCACACGGAAATCTGGTGGTCCGCAACATGCTTCATAGACTGGGGGTACCTGTAGTCAGTGTGGCATACAGGGTCAGTCTAAATTCTGTAAGTGACATGTTGAAAACTGATTTTACATAAGAGTATTTTTTTTATGCCCCCAGATCGAAAGATCCCGGGGGTATATTGTTTTTGTCCTGTCTGTCTGTTTGTCTGTTTGTCTGTTTTGACCTTGACCTTGGAGTTTGACCCACTTTTGCAAAATTTTATGAGACTTTAACCTTGGCCATAACTTCTGAACAGTTGGTGCTTGGGGTTTCAAACTTCACATGTGTATTCTTTGTGACAAGGCCTTTCTTTGGATACCAACCACTTTGACCTTTTGACCTTGACCTAGGAGTTTGACCTACTTTCGAAAAACTTTAACCTTGGCCATAACTTTTGAATGGTTGATGCTAGGGCTTTCATACTTCACATATGTAATCCTTGTGACATCACCTTCCTTTGGATACCAACAACTTTGACCTTTTGACCTTGACCTTGGAGTTTGACCAACTTTTGAGAACTTTAACCTTGGCCATAATTTTTGAATGGTTGGTGCTAGGGCTTTCATACTTCACATATGTAATCCTTGTGACAAGACCTTCTTTTTGATACCAACCACTTTGACCCTTTGACCTTGACCTAGGAGTTTGACTTATTTTCGAAAAACTTTAACCTTGGCCATAACTTTTGAATGGTTGATGCTAGGGCTTTCATACTTCACATATGTAATCCTTGTGACATCACCTTCCTTTGAATACCAACCACTTTGACCCTTTGACCTTGACCTAGGAGTTTGACCTACTTTTGAAAAACTTTAACCTTGGCCATAATTTTTAAATTGTTGGTGCTAGCTTTCATACTTCACATATGTTATCCTTGTGACAAGACCTTCCTTTGGATACCAACCACTTTGACCTTTTGACCTTGACCTAGGAGTTTGACCTACTTTCGAAAAACTTTAACCTTGGCCATAACTTTTGAATGGTTGATGCTAGGGCTTTCATACTTCACATATGTAATCCTTGTGACATCACCTTCCTTTGAATACCAACCACTTTGGCCCTTTGACCTTGACCTAGGAGTTTGACCAACTTTTGAAAAACTTTAACCTTGGCCATAATTTTTGAATGGTTGGTGCTAGGGCTTTCATACTTCACATATGTAATCCTTGTGACAAGACCTTCTTTTTGATACCAACCACTTTGACCCTTTGACCTTGACCTAGGAGTGTGACCTACTTTCGAAAAACTTTAACCTTGGCCATAACTTTTGAATGGTTGGTGCTAGGGCTTTCATACTTTACATATGTAATCCTTGTGACAAGACCTTCCTTTGGATACCAACAACTTTGACCTTGACCTTGATGTTTTACTTACTTTTAAAAAACTTTAACATTCGCCATAACTTTTGAACAGTTGCAGCTAGGGCTTTCAAATTTAACATTTTTTATCTTTTGGCCTGGATTTTGACTTGCATTTGAGAAACCTTAACCTTCGCCATAAGCTGCCATACGGGGGCATCAGTGTTTCACAAACACATCTTGTTTCAAATATACTATCGATGATGTAAAAGGGTGTAGACATGTTCAGGAAATGCTAGTAATTAACTTGAATTTTAAAAAGAGGAATTCAAATTGACAGACTGTTATAATAGTTATCAGAAGCAGTCTTTTATTAATCTTTAATTTAATTTCTTCATTGTTTAATCTAAAATAATTTCTTATCATGTGAACTGTGAAAGTGATAAAACTTAGATTAAATCATATTATATATTGCTTTTTTAATAACCCAATACAGTAAAACACACTTATAGAGAACACGCTCATAATGAATTGACACTTATAGTGAAGTGATTTTGTTTCCCTGTGACTTTAAAATATGTTGTAAACTTAAAAAATTACTCTTATAATGAAGCAAAGTCATCGATCCCTGGCATTTCGTTATAAGTGTGTTTTGTTGTATGTATATGTAAGATAATAATGATGCTGTATAGGTTATGAATGAACATGTATTCACTCTGAAAACAAATAGATATATTTATAACATCTCTGGTCACTAACAGAGTGATGAAGAAACATCAGCTGTCCTTCAGGATTCACTTCATCATGACCAGTACCACCTAGCCGCCTCCAGAGTTATCTCCCTTGTGGCTCTTCATTTGGTGGACGACAATCACCTACCTCTAAACATGATCAACTATACCAAGTTTATTCATGATGTTTTTGCTAGAAGTCTGGTAGATCTGTCAGATGCAAAAGAAAAAGTGAATGTTGGTAAGGTTTTTTCTTTGATTTCTGATGAAAGGTCTAGTAAGTTTGGACTCATTCTCTTTAAGGTTTTATTTTAATCGTTAATTTTCTGTAAAAAAAAAAAAAAAAAAAAAAACATTGTTCACAGTTCTAATTATAGCCCCCTGGAGCAAGGGCTAAACCATGATTGAGAAACATATTTTATGAAAAAAATATGTATATATTGAAATTTAATGCCCCCTAATGAAGATGGCCAGACTATTGTTTGTCATGTCTGTCTTCTGTCTGTCCATCCATCATACTTTGTATTTATCTCAGTTTCAAGATATTTTTATTAAACTTTGTGTGCTGATACATATGAGGAAAGGCTATTCCAATACATAAAAAAATTCTTTACCTAGATCATCTCTTTGACCTTTACCTCACTTTACTTCCATTTGTGTTTTACTCTATTTCAAAGAATTATCCAAGATTTTTTTTATATCAAACTTCATAAGGTGATACATTTTGGTGATAGCTATTCAGTTGCATTAAAATTATTTGACCTTGACCTTCCCTTTGACCTTGACTTCCCTTTTCTTTAAATTGTCAGCTCAGATTTGAAGAAACTATTCAAGATATATTCATCAAACTTCATTTGCTAGCTAGTACATATTGCTGAGAACTATTCAAGTGCATTAAATTTTTAAACCTTGATCTTTTCTATGACCTTGACATTACTATTCTTAAATTTGTGTCAACTCAGTTTCAAGAAACTTTTCAAGATATTTTTATCAAGCATCATAAGCCAATACTTATTGGTGAGAGCTATTCAACAGCATCAAAAATTTTTTGACCTTGACCTTCACTATGGTCTTGACCTTACTATTTTGTTTTGCATTTAGCTCAGTTTTCAAAGAAACTAGTCAAGATGTTTTTATCTCAACACATATGCGGATACATTTGGCTAGATCTTTTATTTAACTGTGATAAATGTTTCTGATCTTGACCCATTATATGGCCTTGACCTTACTCTATTATTTTGCATTTATTTCTGTTTGAAAAAAAAAATTGAGATATTTTTTATCTGTTAACATACATACAGATACATATTGGTAAGGACTATTCAGATGTGCCCAAAATGTAACTATGACCTTTACCTTACTCTTGCATTTAACTTGGTTTCATAGAAACTACTGTATACAGGGTTATTTTCATCCCGTCTTAATTTCACCCTTTTACACCTGAAAATGATTTTGGCCCGTTTTGAATTTGCCCAAACACAGTTTTGTTTAAGAGACAATGCTGTTTTCTTGGAATTTGTACATTTTAAACTCACCCAATTGTGAGTGGGCGAAAGGGGCGAAAATAAAACGGGGCGAAAATTTCCCTGTATACAATATTAAAGATATTCTTATCTAAACACATACACAGATACATATTGGTCTAACTTGGAACTTTATATCAGCTACATGTATGTCCAAATTTTTGTACCTTGACCTTCCTTATGACCTTTGACTTTCTATTTATTGTGTTTGAAATTAAGTTTTAAAGAAACTATTCAATTTTTTTATTCAAACTTCATATACTAATGCAAATTTGTGAGAACTCTTCAATAGTATCATAATTTTTCGTGTGACCTTGACTTCACTATTTCTCATTGACCTATAATCTTAAACAAAGAAGCAAGGAACATATCTTTTAATATTGCATTATAAATGAACCCTGGGTGGGGCATTCAAGTCCTGTGGGCATATTTCTAGTTTTTAAAGTTTCATTTAGAAAAAAATCTTATATGTACATGTAAACTAATTAGAATTACAGAAACTTTGATCATGTAAGAGAGGTATTTTACCTTTTTTATAACCTTTTGTTCTTATAAATTATTTTGAACAAAACTTGACTGCTTAGCACAGTACACACTGTAAGTAAAAAAAAAGTGTAAAATTCAAAATTAAATGCTGAGGAAATAAATGCAATTTCAGCACTTCAGATATAAGTACATGCAGTATTCTGTATTCTATATCTATATGCTTGTATAATTTATTTTCCAGGAAAGTTACAAGAATATATTGACGACCTTACACGTATTGGAAAAGCCTTTGAGAATTATGTCACCTCAGAAGTTTATACCCAGATTCCCCTGGGGAGTAGGCGAATGAACGATATCAAGATGGGTGTGGACAAAATCATGATTTCTCCTGCCGACTTTTTGTAAGTAAATTATCCAGTCTTGTATTTGGTCTGTTTTCATGAATCAGTTGTCAAGGGCATATTATTTTCAGTTTTTCTTTCCCCCCACATATCTTTTCATACTTTCAAAACAGTATGGGTCGATCTGTATATCTTGTGAAGATCAAACAAAAAAAAGGTTTTCAATGACATGTTGTTTTTATGTTATTTTTGAAGTTACTGAAGATATTGGAAGGGCGCATTTATTACATTTTAAACAGTGAAATACTATTATACTCATTTATTGAACAAAAATGATATGATATCAAAGTGATATTCTAGCTGTCACAGTGTGACAGAATATCAGAAGTGGGGCAAAACTTGAAATTTTCCTTCTCTTCAAGAAGAGGATTGTAAAAAAAAATCTCCCTGGCTTGTTATAAGATAGAGTAAATAAACCATCTTGACAGAGACTAAAACTACCAAAGTTTCTCCAAATACATGTATATTGTTGAAATCCATGTTTAAAATATTTTCAATTTCACAATCACTGTAAGCTTTGACATTTCAACCGCTCAACTATGACATCATAGCTATAGCCTAAGACACTGTGTTACAAAAAGACATAGGCAAAGGAACAATCAAAGAAAATGTAATAAACAGAAAATTCTATGTTTTGTAGTTGGATATGGAATTTATCTCACGAGTGAACCAGGATTTTTTTTTACAATTTCACTTGTGCTTCACACTAGTGAAAATATCAAAAAATCCTGTCCCACTCGTGAAATAAATTCCATATCCAACTACAAAACATTGAATATCATCTATACATGTACAGTATATACAGGTGTTAACAATTTTGTGGACTTTTGACAAATCTTGCATATACAGTTAGAAAAATTAATCGAAACTAAATTGTAAAAAGAGTCTTTAATTCTGAAGGTACACGAGTCCTCTGTTGTATGCCACAGCCCCTGATGGGAGTTCTTATTTGATTAAAGAGGCGATAAGTTCAGCAAAGATCAGCAATGATTGGACAGAAGTACAGCGTATTGTGAAAACGGTCAACAGAGCCGTACAGGAAGTGATGTCATATCTTCAGCTGTCTTGAAAAATTAAAACAGCCTCCCTTTTAGGGAGGATAAAGTGAGAATTCTCAATGTGCCAAAGATTACCCTTTCCTCTGCAGATCTCAGTTTGCAGCAGCATCTGACAGAACCTGATGTACATGTACATAATGTATATTTGCATGTGCACGTTAAAAGTAATTATCATATGAGTTTTTATGTTCCGTCATGCTCTTAGTGATCTAAGTGACGATAAGAAAGTTTAAAAAAAAAAAAAAAAGATAACGTGATAATGTACGACAATTTTTCTCAACTCAAACACTACATTTAGTTGATTTGGTGCTACTTTGTATTAGTACATTTAATATGTCATTTATGTTAAACTTTCATTTCTATGATGCGCAATATACATTTGTTGATGATTTCAATTTGTTAACATACTTTCATCTGAATATGCATGTGCCATACTTCATCTGTAGTATTAAGATTCCATTTTCACAAGAACGACAACAATGCCAGAAGTTAAAACCTATCTGGTTTGTACTTGCGACAGTCACATTGTAAATACCATATATTGCATTGTAGAATTGTCTGAAATAACTCATTCTTGTTCATGAACTTTTCACCCTGAAATACTACATTATCTTGACATATCATTTTTTGATTTTATGTGCCATAATAAGACTTTGTGCAACTTCATCAAGCTGTGACAGACATATATACATGTATAATCTCAAGATAAATTATTGATTCAGTATTAATTACACTGTAAATATTAATTAAGATTAGACAATGCTAAGGTTTACACTGACCACCAGAAATGTCTAGTCAGCATTGGTCAGTCATTGTATAACTCAGGGAAGTGCAATTATTGTGAAAAGGGAGGTAACTCTATCAATGCAACAATCTCTGAAAAACAAGATTCATTATCTATACATTTGAACGTAGTATCTTGAACATAGATAACTTGAACACCGTGGATGTATTGGAAGTCCAACCACTTTTCCTGTATTTTACTTTCAATCCTTGTATATCTTGGAGTTTTTTTTCTCGATCAACATCAAGTTCAAAATAGTGAAGTTCAACTGTATTAAAATTTTCATAAAGAACTTTATATAATATATGCATATTTTTGCCCCCATGAAAGTCAAATTTTGAAAATCTTTCGAAATTGTGCTAAATTGTATGTATTGTATGAAAAAATCTGAATTGACAGAAACAGTTGTCACAGTTTGGTAGTAGATTATAAGTAAGTTTTGTTTCTGTCAGACAACACAAACTACATGTATATATATGGATTTTTAAGAAAGAGAACAAATGGGCAAAATTTGTTCAATTTTGAATATATAATTTTACAGAATGCAAACCTGCTCCATTTCAATATTCACATAATTATTTCATTGATATTATCATTCTACACATTACATCAAAAGACTGAGTTGGAGCAAGACCAGGTCTACATGTAGGTGACCTTAAATCAAAATATTGCTGTAAAAAAAAATTTTTCTCCAAAAATTTTCAAATATACATTGTTTTCTTAATGTCATTTCTAACATAGGGCATCATGACTGCTGAAAATATTTAATGCTTTGAAGTCTGCTTGTGTCCTCCTGGTTTAGAAATTAATGATATATTTCTCCATCAAAGTTTGATTTGGGGGGCAAATATTGATCAATACAGTCCTTTCAGTAACTAAAGGAGGAAATTGCATGAGCTGTAATTCTTTGTAATTTTATAAGTACAATTTTACATGTATGAAATGGATGACTAACTGTATAAATAGCAAGTTCCTCCCTTTTTCACATTTAAATGATTTTGATGTATGTAAATAGTATATCGAGAATGTTGTAAATAACTGTTTACAAGTTTGTTTGTACATGTACAATGGAACAAGTTTCTCTAATAAAATGCAATAAATTATGTTTTTCTTTTATTTATATATGTACAAAATTAAAAGACCTAGTTTTGAATAGCAGAATTTTTTTTTGACAGACTTAAAATATTGCCATTTTCCTATATAATTATTATACACTTTAAGGTATGTTCACAACGTACCTTACCTACTGATAATTTTTCAAGATATTCTTAATTTAAGATTATAGTGCCATCAGATGTTCATAGACAAAAAAAATCAGCATGCATTACCAGGGTTTTTAAAAAGATATCAATTGATGAAAATTCTTGTATATAAATTTTAAAAAAATATATGAAAATTATTAAACATATATTCTAGATGTTTTGTTTATCCACACTTGTTTTAGAAGAAGTGTACAGCAGAATATATGGACATTAAGATGAAGCACACAGTTCCTTTAAGTAATGGAACTCTTCAACTCAAGGGAAAAAGACGATAAAGTTCAAACTACGTTGCATATGTCCTTAACGTCCAACTGTACAAAAGTCAAATATGAACACAGTTGTGAAATTTGTGAAATCGTCTTAAATTTTCCCATTAAAACAAGAAATATTTGAGAATCATACATACCTCCCACCATTTGACAGTTTTAAAAGGGATCAATGACTGAATTTAGAATGTAATGACAATGAAGCATAGTCATATTCTAGGCTGGGGCAAACATATTACCGTATTTGGCTGAATATAATCAAAACCAAATCAATTTTGTCCAAATCATGACCCCAGGGGTAGGGTGGGCCACAATGGGTTATCAAAGTTTTTTCATAGGAATGTACACAGAAAATCTTTAAAAATCTTGTCGAAAACCAGACTGATGTAGTACTGGCGCAACCCCTGCCTGGTGGTTGTATTTTTATTTTATTTATTTATTTATTTATTTTTTTTTTTTTTTTTTTTTTTTTTTGCTTTGGTAAATTCTGTTTGTTTAACTTGCATACACTCTCAATTTAGTCCACAGGTAAAATTTCATAATTAAATAATTAACTTATTATTCATATGCTCAGTTTGACCCTTGATCTTTAACATAGTGAAGTCAAAATCTAGTGGGCAACTTCTCAATGGGAACCAGTATAGCAAGTTTGATGTTTGTCTAGCAAAGTGTTCTCAAGATAGTGAGTTGTCAATGTCTTCTTATGTTCAATTTGATCCTTGACATTTGACCAAGTGACCTCAAAATTGATAGGGGCCATTTATTCCTTAAAGGAAACCACTGTACCAAGTTTTTATGTCTGCCAAGCAAATGGTTCTCAGGATATTACAAACAAGATCTTCCAATGTCTATAGAAGTTTGACCTTTGACCTTGTGACCTCAAAATCAATAAAAGTCACCTACTCTTCGGGTTTCAGTGTACCAATGTTTGTCAAGCAAAGGGTTTTCCAGATATTGAGGGGACAACAGTTGGTCTACTGCAGGGGTTGAAATATATGGTAGACCAATGCCCGTGACTAGTCATTTTAAGACTCGAGCTAGCTAATTTAAATGTAACGATAGTCCGTTGGACAGGCAGAACAGAAGAACATTCACGATCATGTTTACCATAGCTTTTCTATGTAGACTGGTTTTTTTTTGACTGAGAAGTAAGTTAATTTATTCCTGTCACAACAGTGTTTGACACTTTAATTTGTTATTGACACTTTAATTTGTTATGTGTTTATTTTGCATGAAAATTGTTGTGCTAGTTAGTTTGAGATTTGGGCTGGTAAATTTATACTGATCAGTGGCCCCTGGGCTAGTGGGTTTTCCAGAAAAATTTTAACCCCTGCTACTGACATATCAACTGACGGGTCCCTTTTCCAAGGGGGGTATTTTATTCAATACAGCTGCAAATTTGGGTATCGTTCAGGTCACTAAGTTGCTAAAACATCTGTAAATTCTAGAAGCACTAAAATTATACACAATGTATAAAAATTCTTGTAAAATTTTTCGTTTTTCTATTGACCTTTTAATTACATCATTTACAGTGATTAATTATCATAGGTCAATACATGTAGCAAAGGGGAATAACCTCTATCAGTAGAATAAAAATTCACAAGCACCAGATTTCATAAATCTGGTAAATATATCCTTGCATATTACAATTTTGTACTCTGTATGCCTCCTAGATGCCCATGAGCAGACAAAATTTTCAAAGAAATGATGCATTTTAAGATTCAACACAGCCAACCCTAACACCAGTACCTCTGACCCAGATGTCATGAAATTCTTGTTTGAAAGAGGCACCCTTGCTCATCATAACCATGCACTTAGGTTATCTGTTAAATACCCAGAGGCAGAGAAGAAAATTTTTTTCAAAGAATTAATGCATTTTCACTATTTAATTAATAACACCAGAACCCCTGACCCAGGGGCCACGAAATTCACTATTTTGGAAGAAGCATCCTTGCTCATCATAACTATGCACTTTGTTTGTTTGCTAAATACCTAAGAGCAGAAAATATTTTTGAAGAAATAATGCATTTTCACTATATAATCAATACAGCCCCACTCCCCCAACACCAGAACCCCTTGGGGCCACAAATTTCACAATTTTGGAAGAAGCCCCTATACATCATAACCATGCACCAATATTTGCTAAATATCAATGGGAGAAAAGAAGATTTTCAAAGAATTTATCCATTTTCATTAGAGCCTGCCTTAACTCCAGAACCACTGTCTCTTGGGCCATGAATTTTTAATGCTTATTACAATGATGCCAACAGTTTGACTGCTTGATGTCCAAGGGTTAAGAAGTACATTTTTAAAGAGAATACTAAATTGGATGGTGTAAGCCCCACCCCTCAGGAGGCAGAGACCATGAAATTCATAATTTTTGTACCCATACATTATGGGTAAAGATTTTGTATTTATCACAAACTCTCTTCAATTTTTGGGCCTGCATCCATTGGGAGATAAAAATTAACAATTTTGTTAGAGGGCTAGTTGGTCAATATCATCATCCACAGTGTTTGTATGCTAAATATCCATGAGTAAAGAACAAGATTTTCAAAGGTCTAAAGTATTTACAATAGATTACTAGAAAACTGACCAGTCAGCAAGGGCCCTACCGAGGGGTAGAAATATAAGGGTGCAGCTTACAGAATGAGAATTTTAATTGATTACAAAAATTTAAAAATATATGAAGAATAATATGCAATAACAACTGTATTTATAAAATTTCAAGATAATTCCTAAATATCCAACAACCTGTAAAGAGTATCCCTGTATTTACATGAGGTAGTAAAAAAACATAATATCTATAATAACTCAATTAAATGTATATTTAAACAAGAATAAAGCATGTGTTTTATAAAATGCCAGCCTTCAGTGAATGCAAATATCACCCAGGCTTGACCTTGACTTCAAAGCAAACATCAGTTGCAGACAAAGATTAATTTATCTTAAAGTGACAAATAAAGATAAGCCTGGAAAATTTTCTGCCCCAGACAAGATAATTAATCCCAGGGGATTAATTGCACTGCTCTCTCATCCTTTTCTTCTAAGTTTACAATAAGAACTATTTCAATAATGATAGAATGAGTTTATTATCGGACTACCTGTTAAAATTAATAGTATTCTTGAATTTACATATGGCAGCAAAAGAATAAATAAATAAAATAATAAATAAATAAATAAATAAATAAAAACAAAATAAGGGCCTTGAATCGCTCTTCTGATAAACTGTACAACCTATCACTTCTATTTGAAGCCTCTAAGTATCCTGTATATTTAGATATAGCCTTGAAATTCCAAAGGTAGGTCATCATGACCTACATTTTAAATAAAAAAACCCTGAGAACCCAGGATGATTCTAGGCCAATTAGTACCTGGGAGTAGGTCATGGTGACCTACTTATCACTTGTCATTCTCTGAGGACCCAAGATGCATCAAATAAGTTTGATGATTCTAATTCAATTAATATGTAAAATATTTTAAAATTATAACCATAAAATTGTAAAAGTAGGTCATAGTGACCTACTTTTCAGATGACATACTTTAAGGACCCAAGATGCATCAACTGACAAAGTTTGATGATTCTAAGCCAATTAATACCTGATATATTTAAATAAAGTCATAAAATTTCAAAATTAGGTCACAGTGACCTCCATATCAGTCGACTAACTCTGTGGACCCAAGATGCATCAACTGACAAAGTTTGATGATTCTAAGCCAATTAGTACCCAAAATATTTAATTATAGTCATATAAATTGAAAAGTAGGTCATGGTGACCTACTTTTCAGTCGACCTACTCTGAGGACCCAAGATATATCAACTGACAAATTTTGATGATTCTAAGCCAAATAGTAACTGAAATATTTAATTATAGTCATATAAATTGAAAAGTAGGTCACGGTGACCTACTTTTCAGTCGACCTACTCTGAGAACCCAAGATGCATCAACTGAAAAATTTTGATGATTCTAAGCCAAATAGTACCTGAAAAATATTAAATACAGCCATAAAATTTCGAAAGTAGGTCAGGGTGACCTACTTTTCAGTTGTTGTACTCCGAGGACCCAAGATGCATCAACTGACAAAGTTTGATGATTCTAAGCCAATCAGTACCCAAAAATATTTAATTAAAGCCATAAATTTTCAAAAGAAGATCCTGGTGACCTACTTTTCAGGTGACCTACTCCGAAGACCCAAGATGCATCAACTGACTACGTTTGATGATTCTAAGCCAATTAGTACCCGAAATATTTAATCATAGTCATATAAATTGAAAAGTAGGTCGTGGTGACCTACTTTTCAGTTGATGTTTTTTGAGGACCCAAGATGCATCAACTTACTAAGTTTTATGATCATAGGCCTTAAAATGTCCAAATTATGCTTCTAAAACGCTTTGAAATTGAATGCCTACAAAGTTCAAAAAGTAGGTCACGGTGACCTACTTTTTAATAAATATGTTTTATGGCCCCAAGATGCATCATCTTACAAGATTTAATGATTCTAAACCTCTCAGTATTCGAATTAATGACCTTAATTGTTTTGAAAAAGATCAGCCATAAAATTCAAAAAGTAGGTCA